AACAGTGTGACAGATCTTCGAGTTACAGGTACACACCATTCATAAAGATAATTCACACTGTTTGTTTCTACAGTTTGATTTGTTTTTAAACTTAAATTTTCTCTTTCTAGGAATGTTAAAAGATGTAGATTTAGGGCTGTTTATTGGTTTCGTTCGGTTTGGATTTTTTTTGAGTCTCCCTGTAGCCCCAACTGGCCTGGAACTCCCAGAGATCCATTTGCCTCTGCCTCCACAGTGTTGGAGTTAAAGGTGTGCACCACCACTCCGAGCCCAAATGTTTGGGTTTTCTGTTTGCTTTGGTTAGGATTATTTTTAAAATATGATTTTGTAAAGGTGATGCTGATTTTTTTTTTTAGTTGATTTTGAATGTATCTGGAATTTTAATCTCTTTAAAGGACAGTAGTAGTTTTGTATGCTGTATGCTTTGCTTCTGATCTTCATATAAAAATGACTATATCATCATTTATAGGAAAAATATTACTACCAGACATAGCTTTTTCCCCCTTCAGATGTTTTTCCTGAGCTTAGGATTTTGCATATACTCAATAAATTGACTTAGTGCTTTCTAGGCTTATGCTTGTCTTCACTCACGTTTGTTTGTTTTTTTTTTTTAATTTAGAGCACTCGAAGTCGACAAGGAGAAGAGAGAGATCCAGATGTTGAGCTAGAGGTAATTGAATTTATTTTTCTGGTAAATAATATCAGGAGTCTGCCTCTTAATAATTAGAACTGGAGTTACGGACAGTTGTTAGCTACCATGTGGGTGCTGGGATTCGAACCCAAGTATTCCAACAGCCTCTTCTGTCCTCTGCAGGCATTGCACGACATGGGTGCACTTACCTACATGCAGGCAATATCAGATGTTGAGCTAGAGGTAATTGAGTTTATTTTTCTGGTAGATAATATCAGGAGTCTGCCTCTTAATAATTAGAACTGGAGTTATGGACAGTTGTTAGCTGCCATGTGCGTTCTGGGATTCAAACCTAAGTATTCCTACAGCCTCTTCTGTCCTCTGCAGGCATTGCATGACATGGGTGCACTTACCTACGTGCAGGCAATACGTGCATACACATAAAATTTTAAAAAAATTATAATAAAATAACTGTAGTTTTATGAACTGTGTTACGATTTTTTATGAAAGCCCCTTTTAAGGTATTTCTTTAAAAATTGGACATTGCAAGGGATTTGATTTTCCTTAATTTATTTGGATAAAATGACAATACATTTTTTAAAAAATACTGATTTCAAAACTCAGTATTCCTATGAGGTTGGAGGAACATAAAAAGGTCATTTATAGATGATACCTCAAAACTTGGCAAACCTCAAAATTGTCATGTTATCAAAAACTGCTGAACCTTCCATTAGCACCTTAAAAATCATCCTTTTATAAATGCTAATAAAGTTTTTGAAGTAATACTCTTTAAATTCTGAATTTGTATAAATGTCAGTCCTGTTGTAGAAATACTACCTACTTTATATTTCAAAGGAATAGGCTTGGTTTTACTACGTTTTTGGTGGCTTATTTTGCAGGCATTTAAACAACTGTAAGTAGAGACATAGATACTAAGTTACTAATCTAAAGATTTAGGAGCTAAAAGTATTTTAAAATTAGATTCCTTTGGTAGACTCTGCCTTTGCATGGTTTCTTATAGTCCTTTCTTTTTTTAGCACCAGCAATGCTTAGCAGTATTCAGTAGAGTGAAATTCACTCGTGTGTTACTGACAGTGCTTATAGGCTTTACTAAGAAAGAGGTAAGAGATTTACTATAATTTGATTTTTGGATGGAATGCCTTAATGAAGCAGTTTTAAGATACTTAATTCCAGTTGCTCTCATCTCAGATACAGGGAAACACTGTT